GATTAAAGGGGAGGGCTAACTTTGCACTTGGCTAGCAAGCTTGGCCGACAAAAAACATAAATTCCTTACAGTAAAGACTATCGTCCTAAAACATAGAGATAATCATTGCTCACGCTCTTGAGATAACATACAATATTTTTTTCTGTTTATTTTATTTTCCAAAGACAAATGTACAGCTTTATTTATTTTTTACTATTTTAATCCCTCGCAAACAGAAGATGAAAATAATTAATAATAATAATAATAATAAAATAATGATAGCCTACTAATTTTTTATTATTTTTTATTATGCAATAGTTAAATAATTGTAATGGTCCCTTTAACACATTCAGTTGACCATAAGTAGCCTAACTTTGCACACACACAAAAAAGTAAACTCAAAACAAATAGCTTTAAACACAAAATAATTATGTTTGGTTACACATTATAGCTAGTTTAACATTTTTGGGAAGGCCGCAGAAAACATTTTGCCAATGTTATACGCCTATATGTCCACCAAATATGGATACGGACAATTAAATAAAAAACATAATACATTTGATCAGACTGGTCAAAGAAGCATCATAGTTCTATCAGACATTTCGAGCACTTGCTTTCTTTCTTCATGATCTTCACCTTGGCCATGTATCATTTTTACCAGTGATATGAAAACCTACAAGTAAGATGATTATAAAACTGCGCTCAGATTTTCGATATGGTCGTATTGTGACACCTAGAGGCGTGTGAGTATAAAGCAAAAGTTACTACTGATGCCATTTCTGTTAGCTAGCATTAATTAAATTCTCATAAAGTCTCATCAATACTCATCATGATTATATTATTCCCAGGGTGAAAATTATATTAGCTATGTTGGCTAACATTTTATTCATTTGAATTATATAGAATTTAAAAGACCTATTATAAATGATTAACATGTCATTTAATAACAACTAAATTATATATAATTTGGTTGTATCAAACTGTGCAACTTTAAGGCCTACATAGGATGAATTGCCCTAATATGGGACATTTTTTGCATTTCAGACATTAAATATTAAATCCACACCCAATATAATTTTAAAAACCCCAGGATGTGTCCGAATCAAATCAAAAGAGAAAATGCAGATAACACATTCATAAAGTAAATGATAGACATATTAGTGCTCTTTTTTTCTCATCTTAGTGCTCAATCTTTTATTCAGAAAGGACGCACAAAACCAATCAGAAATGACGGTAAAGACTTTTATAATATTGCAAAAGATTATTGTTTCAAATAAATGCTGTTCTTTTGAACTTTCTAGAATCCTGGGAAAAAAAACTATCACAGGTTCCACAAAAATACTAAGCAGCACATTAAACGGACTAAATACAGAAAAACACGCTTGTTTCACTACATTAGTGAGGACATTGAATAGACTTCCATTGATCAGGTAATGATATTTTCTATGGCCTAACCCAAACCCTGCCCCTAAACACACCCATCACAAAAACACTAGATTTAAATACAACCATGTTTCTGCGATTTATAAGCCCTTTTAACTAGTGAGGACCGGTATGTCAATCACTAGTCGGTTGTTATAATATTTCACTATAAGTGAGGACATTTGACCCTCACAAGTAGCCAAACCTGTACACACACACACACACACGTTGGGTTTCCATGTTTTGATGGGGACTTTCCATAGTAAAGGTTTTTTTCCCATAGTTCTTGTGGGGAGAAGAATTTATTGAAGGTAGTGTAAGCACAGTTCTTCAGCAGCGATGTTAGCGTGTCGGCCTTCAAAGAATCCTTACCCAAAGTTCTGTCTGTGTGACGAAACTTTATACATGAAGACAAAAGGGCTACATACACTAGAAAACTGTTTGGACCTCCCACAGGAGATTGATCTACACTGCAATCAACTCTGAGCAGTGTTGTTTCTTTGACATTCACACCCATCAGTTTCTATGGGCCATAAGTCTGTACGGGCCATTGGGTTCTTACAGACACAGAGTTGATCACATGGTACAGTCACAATGTAAATGCATCTGACCAAAGATGAGTGAAAATACACATCATCTTTCAAACCCTAAACCTACCCATCACAGAAGAAACCCTACTATTGTGTCTTTTCATAGAGTATACGCTTATGCAGCAAATATGACACACACACACAAACTTAGCGTGCTCTCTTTACTTTCTCAATTCTCACATAACACCGGATATATCCGGAAGCATAAGTACCAAGTGCATCATGGGAAATGTAGTCACAAAGCATTAACACAATATACAAAACCTAAATTTTTACACTTTAAAAAGAAACCATCACTTTGTATGACTTATAAGCCGTTTTCCTCATGGGGACCCAAAATGTCCCCGCAAGGACAAGGATTTTGGATATTGCCAATTTTGTGGGGACATTTTGTCCATGAAAGGACAGGACAGGACAGGACAGGACAGGACACCACACACGCACACGCACACGCACACACACACACACACACACACACACACACACACACACAACAACCAAAAAAAGATTTCATGTATGCAGGTCTCTCACTCACATTCACAAAATGGCTCTGTGAAGCTGCTGTAACTGATTTGAATATTCAAATATTTTTTACAAATCAGGCAGGGAAGCGTAAGCATTTGATTCATGTTTTTAACCTCTGGCCATGCACATTATTGACATTCTGTACCAAATCAACGTGACTATTTAACGTGATCCAGCTCAAGTTTCTCCCTGTAATAAGGATGTGTCCGTCCGGCTACCACCTGTGCTGGCTTTTGTGTGTGTCTCACACACCGTGGCTGCTGATTGCTCTATTGCATCAGACAGTCAGCGCTTTGTAATTGTGACTCCAGAGATCCCCCGTCTCAAGCTTTGGACTCTCCAGGATGAGTAATGGAGGCTGGCCGCCCTCCCACAACACACCAACCCCTGCTGCAATCATATGCAATCCTCACTGCCAGAGACTGCTGTGCTCGGTTGCTTAGAGACCAGGGTCACCTGGGTGAAGGCACCTTAGGAGAGGAACACATCGCATGCAACTACCAGCGAACAAAACTGCATGCTCACACATCTGTTGCTTTCCAAACTGACACTTTGAACAAGCTAGAGGAAAGTACAAGTGAGCTTTCATGTCACTAGTGTTAAACACTCTTTATAATAGCACATGTCCACCTTTATGTGATCAATAAAACATGTTTGATGCCATCCAATTAACTCAAGGACAAAGCATCATTAAATTAGACCCGCAGTCTGTTGTCACAGCGTGTAAGATTGCGTAAACGATTGCTTGTCTTTGCACCATGCAAGTGTGTGTTGCGGCCGCTGTGTCGAGGGGAGATGCTAATTGATTTCTCGTCAAGGGAGAGAGTTTCATCACGCTTTGTTTTTAACCCTCTCTTACACACGGCGCTCTCACAGGAGTTCTCCACCTCTGCAGTCTCAGTCCGAGACACAATCAACTGGTGAGATCAACCAAAACAAACGATCAAGGAAACACTATTGTGCATTTACCAAACGCAGGACGGGATAGTGGGACACGTACCCCCTGTTTCACAGACAAGGCTTTCTAAGACTATGTTTGAGCTGTTTTAACTGAAAGCAACTTGTATTGGCCTGTCTTAAAATATACCAGTGCCATTGTTTTCTCAAAATGCACACAGGTAATGTTTAATTTTCTTCTAAGGCATGTTTATAAAAGCTACTTTAATGTCCTAATTGAACTAAGGCTTAATCCTGGCTTAATCTAAGCCCTGTCTGTGAAACCGGGCCTCCTTGAAGTGTGACAGTGTAGAAAATACAAAAAACAGTTTCTATAAAGCTAAAGAGTTACTGCCATTTTATTCATTCTCGAGTACAAATTGCAATGATCAGTAAAGTCAAGTTTAGCAAATATCTGATAATAGTATTATTTTTTTGTGTCTATGAACAGGATGACCTTTTCAACAATTGCACCATTGTTCTAAAGTTTTTTTCTTTTTCTTTAAATAAGTTTGCTACGATCACCAAGGCTGCATTTCTTTAAACAAAAATACAGTAACATTTTTAAATTGTGGAATATTATTATTATTACAATCTAAAATAACGGTTTTGTATTTTAATGTATTTTAAAGTGTAATTTATTCATGTGATGCAAAGCTGAATTGTCAGCATCATGACTCCAGTCTTCAGTCACATGATCCTTGAGAAATCATTCTAATATGCTGATTTGCTGCTTAAGAAACATTTCTGATTTTTATGGTCAAGGTTGAAACAAGTTGTTCTGCTTAATATTTTTGTAGAAATGTGATACATTTGAAGAAATTAACAGCATTAATTCGAAATAAAAATATTTGCTGTCACTTTTAATTAATTGAATGCATCCTTGCTGAATAAAAGTATTAATTTTTTTTTTTTTTTTTTTTTACTTCTCAATGGTGGAGTATTTGTATATATATATAAACAATTATTTATTGTAACTTGGCCTTGTTACCTTTTTTTCTTGCATTTTCTCCAACTTTATAAATAGTTAAAAAACAAACTTTAGCAGCCTATTCTCACATCATTTCAAACCACTGAAGGGATAGTTCACCCAAATATTAAAATTGTCATCATTTACTCGCCCTCATTGTGTTCCAAACCTGTATGACCTTCATTCGTCTGTGAAAAACAAGATATTTTAAATAATTTTTTGTCCATACAATGAAAGAACCCTAAATTAACTCTTGACTCTGTTGACTCATTGTGTATATATATATATATATATATATATATAAGGGAAACTATCCCTTCAGTGGTTTCCCTTTAAATAAAATAACACTAGTCTACTACTCCAACATATCCACAATTTGTGTTAAAATAAATACGTGCGATCATCAGTCACACTCAAAGTCTGTAAGGTCTAGCAAAAAATGATTAACATTTAGTAGCAGTCAAGGTACATTGTGTGTTGGGACACAGCAGTGAGGTATAATTGTCAATATAACAGTCTAAAGGCTGGCCTTGGAACTATTAGATCAATAATTACAATCAGAAGCAACATTTTGCAGATTATTTTTTTTTCTGTACGTCGTCCTTATCTGCCCACAGCTTTTCCCTGTGTGACAAACTAAAACAGTAGCCGATGGCCTTCTCAGTTTCACTGATTCTCTTTCGGAATCGGTCTCTGTCCCGCGCGAGCTCCTCCCACGGCCCCTTACGTGAAGCTTGAAGAGCAAAGGACCAAGTGTGCATCTTGTGAACTTGTACGATGGGAGAAAATTTCACCTGGAAAACATTAGCAACGTGCTGTTATCAAGCAATGATTTACAACTGACATGTTGTCTAAAGCGGCATAAAGGTGTGGTCACATTAGCGGATTTTCAGAGACATTTCGTAGCCAAAAAGTTCTATTGTCAATAGTGTAGCGTAACACTTTCTGTTGGAATTTGCGCTATCAACTGGAACCTGTAACGAAATGTGCATGGGGAAATATTTCGCCGAACAACAGTAAATGTGACCACACCTTGAGACTGATAATTACCTTCTTAAAAGTAGCACATTTCCTCTGGTTGCCCTGAACCGCTGTCAGGCCAACATATCTTCTCCATGGCACCACTGATAATGTCTCAAAGGGTAATTTGTGGCAGCAATGGCGAGGAACTTTGCTTGGCAGCTTTGAGCGCCTCGAAGATTTGAAGAGTCTGGCTTTACCTTGCGTGCTCTGGCTGGGTGAATGGCGTTTGGGAGGTGTAGGTGTTGCTGGTGAGCTTTGAAGCGGCGCTCTGAAATTCAGCGGGTGATATGGGTCATCATTCTGAGAGAGGGATCTCCACAAGGCCTCTTCTTCTTCATCTTCAGAACCTGGTTTGGAAGATTCTGAGCCTGTAGATGCTGTGGATTGTGACGTGGGACTTTCAGGCTTTGAAATGTCCTGCGTTTTGCTTTTTTCAGCGGCCGCACTGGACAAGCACGCCGTGAAGTGCATCGGGTGATATGGGTCCGTCGAGCTGGTCAGAAGCTCCCAGAGTTTGTCGCTCTCCTCTCGTTCTCCTTCGAAACAAGAGCTGTCTGTGCTTCCCCAGCTGAACTCGCTGTCCGAGAGATGAGCGACTGACTGCACTTGACATGGAGTTTGAACATCCTCTGTAGATGAACCAGATGTGTCAGGATCACTGATGGGCTTTTGATGCTTTACAAAGTCCTTTGCTGAAAACCCTGACACGGTAAAAGTGCAGGTGCTCTCTGCGCATTTCCTCTCGGGACCTCCTAAAACGGTCCAGTCATATCCGTGTTTCCACACGGAGTGATCTCCAAGATAGAGATCTTCGGTGTCGTTGAGACACTCGGTTGCGTGGGACACGAGGTCGTCCACCAAAGAGCAACAGAGTTCATCGCTGACCAGACTGGACAGGACAGCTCTGGAGTGGGAGCTCACGTCGAACGGGTCTCTGCCGAATTTCGAAAGCGGACTGGAACCCCCGACCACCATGTTTTTGTTGTTTTCAAACAAGGAAGAGAGCAGGAAACTGTCAGAAGGGTCTCCTGAGCCACTTGTCATGTGCTGAATGTGTTGCCCTGTCTCGTCTGTGATTCTTAGATGGACTTCAAACCTGAACATCTGGAAAACTGGGAACCAAACAAAAGGAAGTTACTGTAAGTCCACTTCAGACCATAACCATAAACAAGGGCCATACTCATTTCAATAAATTTATATAGATAAATTAAATATATATGCAGTATATAAGCAGTGTGTGTATATATATATATATATATATATATATACTGTATGTGTGTGTGTGTGTATTTGTGATAGTACTAATAAGTGTTTTAAAAATAAAACAAAATGTAAAAATACTAAACAAGTGAAAATAATACAAATACTATTCATACTAATCATAATATATAAGTAAATAATTATATATATATATTAAATAATACAATTAAATACATATACTATAATTATATTATATTATCCAGTTAAAAGGAAATAAATACAAATAAAAAAATCTGTTATTTCACTTTTGCTCTAGAAAAAGTGTAGCCTATCAATTGGTTTTACTAATGTTATTTGGCAACACTTTACAATAAGGTTTAATTTACTAACATTAGTTAACATGAACTTGTACTCCTACAGCATTCAAAAAATGTTCATAAAATGAACAGTACTCCTACAGCATTTATTAATCTTAGTTAATCTCAACATTTATTAAAACATTTTTATGATCAAAAGATATATCTGTAGCACTAGTAAATGCACTGTGAACTAACATGAGGTTAATAAATGCTGTAAGAATATATTGCTCGTTGTTAGTTCATGTTAGTTAACCCAATAACTAATGTTAACAAACTAGACCATATTGTACAGTAATACTATGCGTTTCTTTATAACAAACTGCTGGTCATTTTCATCAACTAGTTGCTTATTAGCATGCATATTACAAGGATATTGGCTGTTTATTAGTAGCCTACTTATAAAGCACATATTAATGCCTTATTCTGCGTGACCATATTCTACATCCCTACCCGAAAACTAAACTTAACAACGACCTTACTAAGCAGTAATTATGAGATTATTGAGGCAAAAGTCGTAGTTACTAGTTAGTAAATAGTAAGAATTGGACCCTAATCTAAAGTGAATAAAAAATTTACATATGCAAATAAGTTGATCAACCCAGTTTGCACTTTCACAGAAATCTAGTAGCCTACATCACGCTGACATACGTTCATTATTATTAATAATAACGGAGTAAATATGATTATGTAAGTTAAACATGCGATGGCCAAGCATATGGATAGCATAAAATACATTACAATGCAAATATATCCGAAAATTACCCGTCATAAAAGTGCAGCAGATGACCTGGAGCAGCAGTCGCAGTTGTTCCCACACCACCGTCAGGATCTGTTTAGTCCAGGGCAGAAGCATCATGCCGCTGTCCCCGAAGCGCCGCAGCGCGGTCCTCTCCATCCTCACTCTTTACCTGTCAGTGTCACGTATTCTGATACTCGTCCCTCGGTGTGTTTTCGCTGTAGTAATTTATCGGCTGATTTTTGAAGCTTGCTACCGACATCTTCCCAAATATGTGGGCGTTAACTCCGAGCGAAAGCTGCTGAGTTCCACATGATCACCAAGTCCCGTTTACACACCTCCAAATGAACGCGTGACGGTAACTACTAGAGCTGAAACTTATGAACGCGCTCCACTATAAACAAATATCTTTAGCCTGCAACCATGCGACCTTTGATTTGTCC